CCCCAAAACCCCAAAACCCCAAAACCCCTTTTTGGTCATAAATAATAGAATTCAGTAAAAATGCCCAAGAAAAGTTCAAAGCCCATCAAGCGAGCTAGACTGGAGCCTACAAAGAAGTCTAATGAAGAGATTAGCTGGCAAAAAGTCAAGATTGATGATAAGGAAGAAGATAGCGATGATGATACTATTACACCTGAAGAGCTTACTAATGGCTTATTGGGTCAGATTCATCAAGCTCCTAAGGAAGAGAGAAAGCAAGACTCTGATAGAAATTTGAAAACTCCAAGAAGGAAGGAAGCAAAGGTAAACATTGTAAAGGCTTTATATGCTATGATATATAGGCAGTAGCTAAGTCAAAGAGAAAACAATCAGTAAGACAAAGGAAAGCTACTGAAGCTAGAGAAAAGAATAAACCAGAATATGAAAGATACAAGAAATTGTTAATAGAAGAGTTGAAATTAGGTATTGACGAGTTCAGGACCGAAGCTTCACAAGAGCTCCCTTGGCACGAAGCATGAGAGAACTTCTTTGAGTTGATTAAAATTCTTTCACAGAGACGAAACATCAGTACCTGATATGTAATAAACCCATTCCTGAAGCTTTGCTCGCACATAATTATCAGTATGAATTATGAGCTAGACATAGTTCAGAAGAAATGAATTGAATATCTGAGAGTCCTTCACCAAAACTTAATGAAATAGCCAGAAATCAAACAACAAGGAAAACCATCCTCCTTCTTTGAACCAAATTTCCAATGCCCAACTGAATTATGAAGATATCCTAGCAAGGCTCTCTGAAAGTAACATAATAGAGATTTGAGTAGACAGAAACTACTACTGTATTACTGAAAACAAGCTTGTTGGGTGTGGGTTCACCCAGGAAGAAATGAAGTGCTTCACTAAGTCTAGATATTACCAAAATGAAATCACTTGCACCACCGATAGTCACACAGAGTTAGAAAATGTAAAGCTTAAGCAGAGGGTCAATTTTAAGTAACATCTGTGAGATTTTAGCCAGGATGATATCAATCCTCAACTCTGGTAAGAAAGTCCCACCTGGAGACAAGAAGAAATATATTGAAGAGAATCGAGAGAAGATTGACCTTGAGAACAAAATAATCTCACTGAAAAATAGTGGAAAATGTAAGCATCCTAGACTAACTTTACAGCATCAGGAATATTCAGTACCAAGTCTATCATCGAATGGAGTGATAAGTCTAAGTTTATGAATGATGTCGAAACATTCAAGAAAGTAGCGATTGATTATGACCTTGCCCCACTGAAGACAGAAGATATCTTCAACTTTGTCCAACTGAAGAAGCTATGAGAAGCAGAGAGGTTGAAGGAACTTGAAGATCTCAAAAATTCTGGCTCAATGAAGAAATATCTAGGTCCGAGCAAGAAACATAAAAATTTCTAAAGCTACAGTTGCTGAGAAGGAGCAAGCACTGTACTGTAACTATATCAGGAGCTCACTTATGAAAAACCGTAAGGTTTTTCTTAGAGAATTACAGAAGCTCAGAAAATTTCAGTGAAAACCACCCAGGAAAGAAAGAAATCAGTTCCATATTTTACTTGAAGGTGTGAGAAAGACAGGCAAGGATTATTCAAGAAATCCGATGAAAATTGGCTACCCTAGGAATCCTTTTAAGAAGTTGGCGGGGATTAATTATGATTATGAAAATAGGTGAGTTTAGAAGCTTGACTTTGTAGTGATTATGAAGATGATGATGACAATTCTCAAGCAGACTCAGACTATGATTCTGACCACAGCACCCAAGTCGATTGTAATTTCTTTCTAACTCTAGTAGATTATAATAAGAAGGTTCGTGTTCCAAGAGTTCCAATAGTGAATAGGAGCCATACTGAAGATACTAAGATTGTATTTCTAAGACCACAGATAGCTCCATTTCAGATGATAAAGTCAAAATCAAAGGCAAATTCTAAGAAAGAGAGTGAGAATCCAAACGCTCCTAAAATTTCAAAGGGTTCCAAGATTTCCAGCTTTTTAAAGACACTCGAGAAGAAGTTGTCTCAAGCTCAAATGCTTCCTATAAAAGAAAGATCTAACCTCGAAATTGCAGTAGAGGCAGAATGCAGACAAAAAGGTCAAAGGTCTAAGAAGCAGATAGCATCCACATTCCTCGGATTAGCTGAGAAGGCTCAAAGAAGTGCAAGAACTCCTATGAGGTGTAAGCCATCCTAAAGGATCATCTTAACTTTGGACGTACAAAAGCAGGTTGCCAAAGATGTCCAATAAATTAATCATTTTCAATAGTTTCAGCCCCCATTGGGGTTTTGGGGTTTTGGGGTTTTGGGGTTTTGGGG